ACCACCAGAGTTGTTTCAGTGCAACAAGTTGAATGTCCTCAACAGAGGGGAATACTCGAGTAACAGCCATTTTGTGGAAGAAAAGAAGGGATCTATCCAGAGAGAATGCAAGATGCGCAGTTGTTGTTCGTTCTCACCTAATGCACAAATCCATGTATCCTTTAACGAGAAAATGTGCCTGAATTCCGGATGCTCATTAAGCTCACGCCGATTATTTGAAATTATTCACGGCTGGATTTCAATGCCTCTGGAAATAATTATTATATCTGTTTTGCTCATACTAACTGGACAACAAGACAATGACAGAAGAAAAGATCTAGACCATTGACTTAATAACAATAAAACCACAGTTCAATAAATCTATATAATTATATAAATATATATTGTATGAGTGTGGTACATTAATATCAATGTTTCTTCTGGATTTAAATGACACGGCCTGATGTTAAATCGCGGTTAAGGTCGAACGAATTCCTTCCAACCAAATTGTCAAAATTTATTCCACTAGTCGAATAACTTGCATATCGAACGTAAAGTTGCATATTTGAAGATTCGCTTTGGGTTAAGTTCAAGGCATGTTTAGCAACTCTGTACGAAGTTTATCCCACCAAATATGCGATAATTCCAAGGTAACCAAATCATTGAGGTCAATTTCTTAGCTGGCCGACATATTATTTAATCAGATATCCAAAGCAACGTGTAAAATTGTTCAACTATATCTCGGTGAGCAGACCATGCGAATGGTAGAATCTGAGAAAACCGCACGACTGCCAGCACTTGGAAGAACGTGGTGTATCTCTATATCAATTCGATCTGAGAAGACCAATCAATGAAAGTAACTTTTTCTTTAGACCGAAAAATATACCTCTATCCCATCCTCCAATAGCTTTTTAGGAAGTTGACGATCTATAACTGCCAAAATATCTATCAGAGGTTGGAAAAGGAGCAGATGTTTCGGGCTACTATTTCTCACGTTCTATAGCGAAAATCGGGTTGTCTGAATTTGTACAATCACAATTGCTATAGTAATTCCATAGGGAAAGACGACGATGAGACGCTTTGAACTTCCAGTACACGTGACTGATCTCTCGGTAATCTTCTGTTGATTGTTTATTGAATAGTACAGGATTAGTTTACTTTCAATATAAAAACATAAATAATTTGATAACCTAATCATCACTTTATTTATTTATTGTCATAGCGGAGTTCAAGCATTGGTCAGAAAACAAACAACAAGTATGCTGGTAAAAACACACAATATTAAATCATTGAAAACAACACAGCAAGACAATATTATAATACTGTAAACAAATTGATAAACAAAGTCTTTATCTTAACCAGATATTCGAATCTTTTTCAAATTTTGCATGATACGATTCATTCATTTTTACGTTAGGTACTGCATTTTTTTTTAACTGTCTTTGATTCTGTGAAAAGATTAGATGCAGGATACGAAAGAACTGTCTTGACCTATGCTGGTATCCCTAACCTTCAGACTAGTGGTCAAGGAGCCAACGCGGCCTTCAGCAGTTGTTTATGTCCGAGTTGACATTTTGCCGTGTGAAAAACTGAGATCTGGTTGAAAGAGGACACAGGAATTGGGTCATATATACACCTGGAAATCCAAAATAGGTTAAAGCAGTAGAAATAGATGGTTTAAAATACATAATAATTATGTTAATAGCGTATAAAACATCTTGTCAGTACAGTAGAAACTGGACTTAACCCATAAAATCAATAGAGCGAACCCTATAAACCTATATAATACAGGTAGCATATCGTAAGATATAAAACATATCCTTCACCTGTTCTTAATTGACTTTCACCGCTAGAGAACCTGTATGTAATTAGGGTAATAGCCTTTAAGCAACCTTTATAACCTGGCTACTCAATCACCATACATATATATATATATACAGGTCAATATTGGAGCTGAAAATATCTAGGCACCTCACAATAATATGGTCAAGGACACTGACCAAGGGCCAATCGGATGAACAGAAAGAAGCGGAGTGCGCCAAAAGGAGGAGTGTGTGTCAGGACTAAAGGTGCCTTCGCACAAGTGCCTACTTTTAATATTCGCAATCTCTATCAATTGGTTATCGCTATGCTTGGCCGTAATTCTTTTGGTACTTTTACTATCTATTTTTGGAACTTTTGCTCTGCATGTTTTGAGTACCCTTTCTATGCCTGTTTTTGGTACTTTGCTTTGCCTGTTATTGGTACTTTTGCTCTGCTTGTTTTTGGTATTTTCCTTTACCTGTTATTGGTACTTTTGCTTTGCTTGTTTCTGGTACTTTTGCTTTGTCTGTTTACAAAAGACTATGTGAAAAATGTATCAAAATTCTGTCTGATGCAAACAATGATGGAAAACATAATAACTTTAACAGTAAAATAGGTTCGTGAATGTTGCTTGTCATTGTTGCAAATTTTGTGACGCATTTATACATTAATCACGTACTAGTAACCATCTATTTGGGACTATGGTTGTGTCTGTGGTCACGACAATTACATAGACCAAAAGTTATGGCCATGCGAGATTGTAAGCCTAATCACACAGATAAGCTTACAGTGCCCCGGAAGACTATTAGAAATGTAGTTGCAATTTGCCAATGTGCAGACATATCTGATCCTACCACATATTGGCTAAATATAGCTTTAGAGGGGTTGATGGTTAACGTGCCAAAAAGCCAAGTCTCATAATGACCCTTGAACCAATAATGATATAGTTAATGACAGATTTTGATATATTAAAACAATAACAATGGCTTAATGAAGCTATTAATTTCAATGAACTCTGTACAGAACTATAATGAGCGGACTGTGTTATCCAGATTACCTTTGAGTTACTGAACTATTATTAAGGCCAATAAGTAGGACGTAAAACTCCATTTCATTAAAACCAATATTAGTTCGTCTTCTTGATTCTTTTTATCCACTTTTCGACTGACATACGTCAGCACTTCTAACAGGATATCATACTGTATAATACATTGATGCCATGAACTGCTTTATTCCTGGTTCCATGATTTAGGATTTCTTCTGCCTATTCATCCAAATAACTTAAAATAATGTCTACTTAATCCAATTCAATTTATCAATTAAAAACAAAATAAATATTGTCTGCCCTTAATGACCTAATCAATATGAATGACCTATATGCCCTGACCTAATTACAGGTAAATGACAATAATTACACTTAAGAAAAGTAATATTATGTTTATATATGGTAATGTTTAATTAGGTTATCTTAATGAATCTAAATCTTAAACTATACATGAATACATACGTTTTTCTCTAATTTTCAAATGAAATTAAGTTATCCGACCTACTGTTTTATATCCCTAAAACTTTTAATATCATATGCAGATTTTCCACAATTCTTTCATGGCTTGGAAACAATAAAGACCAAGCGGCTAAACAGAGCTATTTCCATTGGTATAAAATGATGCAAACAGGCAGGGCTCTCATTTCATTTATTCTATTTCCACTTATCAATACTATTTTGTCATTCAACATCTGCGAAAAGTGAACAGATATATCATAAATGCGTTGTTTAGATCAGGCAACGAACTACCACTTTTTGTCGTTATTTTGAGGATCAGTGTATTTCATTGCCATAGTAGGCCAATTTTGTAAACGTGCCATAGGAGTTTCATATCAGGCCACGTATTCTCAAAACGATCTAGGATGTCCTAGAATCAATGTTAGAAGATATGAACCTAGGACATCCTAGAGCTAAGATCGTTTCGAGAATACGTTGCCAGATTATGTAGCACTGCCATACTTCCATCGACACCATATTCTAAAAAATGACATGATTATCGATTAATGTTTCCAATATTTATAAATGTTACGGGCAAAAATTTCTAAAGATTAATAGTTAACCATAAACCATCTTTGTGGAAGTTGATTCACCCACTGGCCTTTGGTGATAAGAGAGCATAGTTTTGTTCCGGACATAACTTACATTCAAACTATGTCTTTTGTGGTATATTAGTTTCAATACGGGATCTTATATAACAAACCATGATTCACATAATCCTATTGACATGATGAAAGGTTAGTGGAATCTACGTGACTTCGTCGCATGATGTAAATTAGTGCAAGGACTTAAACATTATCAGCCATATTGTTAAAGGGAAATAACTCTATAAGAAACTACGTCGAGGACCGAACGTCAATACCTTCTCTTCGTCAGCAAACCTAAACGACACTACTGATGTGTGGACCCTGTTGCAGAGTGGCATCAAGGGCTTAAATAATCTTACTATGAATTGCAAGTCACAGTCTGGGGTGAAAAACAGGGCTTCAAGCTTGCATATTGAGTATTATTCCAATATTATTGCATTTTTAATTTTAACAATGAAATATTGCTCATTTCGGAAAAAATTGTCATGCTCCCCTCCCCTACCCACTTGGAACTGATATTGCCTGTCCGACACTATCAGATTTGATAGGTGTGATCATTATGCTTATTTAACAGGCGCAAACAAAACAAATTCAAAATCAGCAACAAAAGATCAAGAATATAAGATAGTTGAAATACCTGTATCATGTACAAATTTACATATACGCATAGACTACGCATAAAATATTTTGACACAAGTATAAGGGCGAATATGATCAAAATGCATACATTTAATTTTTTGAAGGCGATACAGAATTTACAAATACCTGAACGTTTATTTTTGAATAATTGGAATAAAATTTAAAACTTGTTTGAACTTGTTGATTGAAATGTTTAAAGTTTTGATACAAGTTTCTCCCACCATCTGTCGTGTTTAAACAACGTATAAAAAGAACAAAGTGATGAGGGGGGTCTGCCCGGGCACTAGCTCATGAATATCAACCAATCAAACGCCAGTATTTAATAAACCCCGCCCACTCAATGATGTCGCCATACAGTATTGAAACCATCTAAACAGTTGTTGACTGGAAATTAAAGAACAAATAGTGTGGCATATCTGTTCGGAATTGGACAATTTCATCAATTGAAAATGACTCTACCTGAAATGAAGGAATCAATGCAGATCTTCAATTCAAAATCGTAAGTAGAACATTAAATGTACCTTTGTTGAAAAAAAATGTTAGCCACGTAAACTTCATTTGTACAGTGTAAGTGAGTATAGGACACAACAAAGAAAATCGTACCAGGAACGTCTAGCAGCACTTTTAACTAACCTAAGTGCATTTAAGTATGTATGTTATCCCTTGAATGCAGGTAATTATAAAATGATCGCTTTAAAAAGTGCATTTGTGAATCACTTTTATTATGAAACCTATCGTTGGCATATGTTGTGCACAGCGAGATTTCAAGCAAATTTACCTCTGGATTGTGAATGGTTTTTCTTTGAAGAATTGTGTATTTGCAAGGCCCTGGTTTCAAAACGCAATATCATGTAAAAACTTTTGAAATATTCGTGTATTTTCATAGACAATAATGAGCTGAGAGCTTACAGACGAGACTGACCTACTTTTGACCCCTTGTTCAGGTTGCTTAAGTCTCGCGTTTACAAAATTCTAGGGTTGCAAAAGGTAACTTCTTCAGTTTTCTGAATACTTCGACATAGGATAGTAGCTTTCGTGAGTAGAATGTTCCCTTTTTCAGTGATTTTCATACAAATAATTTTATATGAACCTGCGAAACGTGGTTGACCTACTTTTTGTGCTCGATGTCGATAACCACCATGTAGTCCACTAGCAGACGATACATTTTGAGCCAAAAAAGACTTTGTTTAATACTAAAAAGGCTATCACGGAATTTCAAAATTTGTGAATAACAACAAACGATTGTCGTTGGCGATATTCAATGGTTTAAGCTCTTAACACATGTAATGCATTAAAAATCTTATTATAGCAGACGTCATTATTACGTCACAACCCACTACATGAAGTAATCTATAATAGAGGCGTTGATGTGAAAAATGTCACATAGGAAGTAAGAATGACAGACTTCCAAATTGGAAAACAGTTCGCTGCCTGTTTCAACCCCTCATGCCTACACGTTACATGACGGAATTAAAAGATTCCAATTGCTACAGATTTCCTGTATTGGTTAACTCAATATATAACATATGCAAATCGCCTTTTTATGCCTTTTTTTATTCAAGAGAAATGTCAAAACCAGATTTTCATTCTTAATATTCAAATCAATTTAATTTTTTTTAAAATTCATTATTGGGGAAACTCTTCATACCTTTGCGCTTCTGCGTCCTAACAGTTGCCCCATCATTAAGTTAGTATTTCCCCCTTTTGTACCCCGAATTCCAGAAGGTTGGCACTGCAAAATAATGCCAAAATGGAGCTGTTGATCTCCCCGATGAACATATATAGGCAGAAATCGTGTTTCCAATGCCTTCTCTAATTTTGTGATTTCAGGAAATGGGAGAATGATATTGGTGAACTATTAAAAGAATGTATTTATCAGAGTGTAGAAGAGAAGAGAATTACTTGCGGGGTTTTTGATTGTGCCAAACTTCTCAAAAGGTTCGCAGTTTTACATATTCATTATCGAGCGAGCGCCTAAATCGCTTAATTCTCCGCGCTTATCAACCTCACAATGCGGGATTTCCATCATAGTAACTTAGATTAAAGGTTGTTGATATATGGATCAGAAAAGGTGGATACAGACATGTAGTAAGCATACCCGATAAACTCGATCAACATTGAGTTTATGTTTTCTTCAAGATGATCTGAAAATTTCAAAAATTCTTCTGTAATATTACCTCCCTTGAAAATTCAGAAACTTCAGCACCATTCTGGTTTTGACTAGGACCAAATTTCTTATGAAAGCTTTCTGAAATGCGTGCTTGGTTCCTTTATTTTTATTTTCGCTGGGAAGTTAATTTTCTTTGACATATCTTTTTAAGCATCCTGTCCATGTAAATAAATGTTCATATAGAAACTTGTTGAATCAAGACTTTATGCTGGCATCTATAGGGCCTTGTCTCTGAGATGCCTTACTCTTGCCACGGACACAGACTGCCATGGATCACGTTGGCTTTCTACTGTATTCGGATTCTGACCGACCATAGTTTATTTCAGCAATCCAGAAAATGTGATGATTTGTGTTTTACCAGAGGCTGAAAGTGAAAATATTTCAATTCATATTCAACATACTTTAATTGAGGCTTTCTGTTGGGAAAATGACATTCGAATCTTGAAGGTAAGTTTCAAACCATTGGTATACTACAGGTATGCAATCAAGAGAAAACACTATAATCCTAACAGTAATTTGCCTTGTGAAAGGAATAATTTGACAAAGCAAAGATGCGAAAACGAAAACGTTCTTAGAAATCACAGGGCCCAAGGTCAGTATTTGCATCTTCGCCATCAATCATTGGCATATTCCCAACATAATGGGTAACTTTCCATTAATATTTGTTAAAATGAGTTGTCCGGTGGCTCATCGTGGCCATTTCACATCTGTGTATTTTTTGCCTCATGAAATGGATAATTTTATTAAGCAAAGATATGAAAATGCGATGTTCTGAGGAAGCGACTTTGCATCTTCGCCTCAATAAGCCACCATACTGACGGAATAAGCCACCATACTGACGGCCATCAAGAATATTTCTCATAAGAAGCATTTTTGCCCAGGAAACGTGTGTTTCGATGATCGTTCCTATCAGATGAATGAGACTATTGGTATTTCACTATTTAATTTAGGTCAAGAATCAACAGTCTGTTGGAAACATTCTCTGTGGTGAAAAAGAGAAAAATGTTACTGATGAAAATTCTGCCATGAAACCAGACATTAGCTGTCTGATGATAGAGGTATGTAGTTCAACTAGTTCAACTTAAAAGAGATGTGTTTTGGATAGTTAAAATTTTGCTCTTTCTGCTGTATAAATAATTACTTTTATAATTATCTCCCTTATATTCGGGTTTCAAAGTCTTTCAAGGTGTTTTTGGTTGGAGTTGGAAAACTGCTGTATGAATTTAAGCAAAATAAACGTCAACGTTGCTGAGAAATATATCTCCAATGTTAGTTTAAGATATGTACATACAATTATTACCACCCTTTTTTCAAAACGTATTGCGGTTTATCAAAGAGATACATAGAAGCCAAATAGAATATAATAGAAATTTTCTCTAAGTGCAATTACGTTTTTTTAAATTTTGCAAACTGCAGAACCAAGTAGGTTTATAATGAGAAAATGACCGGATGGATATCTCGAACCACCGACAATTGCAACAGAATCCAGCCTGTTTAACAACGTGTGGTTACAATTATTCCAATTAAAGATGGCTTTCCTTATTTTCATTTAAGGAAAATGCTAATACGTATATGATTATACATGATAATCCATTAGAAACATCAAGTAATCAAATAGTTTGCTTAATTGGACACTTTAAAAACATCTTTAAACAGTTGGTTTAAATGATATTCTGTATTAGATATGAAAATAAACCATTCATTAGCGTAGTTTAACACTTTTAATTATTTTTTTGGACACCTGGCTTTTCTATTTTCTTAAATTTCTTTTATTAATAAGGATGTTTTTTCATTCAATACACTTATACCATTTTCATAGATATGATGCCAGGTTCCCCCCTGTTAGTAATGCAGATCGGAGGGGTTGACATGGAAAAGCGTCTAGTCGTTCGAATTGAGCAATAAACCGAGATCACAGGCTGTGCACGTTATTGATCCCTCGACCCTCGATGTTGGAAATCGAGAAAAGCAGGTTATGTGGCTGCCCTGGCAAAATTCCCCCCATTGCCCTTTGCTTGACGTTGCCTGTCTTCATAAGCCCATTTAACAGCAGAAAAGTAGGGTGTAAAACTTTCATTTCATGGATTTTGTGGTTTTTTTGAATTTTCCATATTGATTGCGGTTTGGATATATAGATGATATGTTATTTTCTCGCGAATAGTACATTATTAATTACTATGTAAATTAGTTGAAGAACAAGGACAACTTTTAGTCAGAGAGTAGCATATCTGCGATAGATCTAAGTTATGGTAATAACATGCCGATTCCTAGGCATGAAGAAGACAATATTTATATTTTACCACTCCAGATAATGTAAATAAAGTGCCTTCGCCATAAGAAATATTTTTTGTTTTGTAGTATTCTGGTGCTAAAATGAGTAGCGAGGACCAAGGAGTCATTTGGTATCATGAATCGATTATAATGAACACAGACTTTCCGAAACCAGTGATACACCTCCCTGATTGATAACAGCTGTGGAATATTGAACATTCATATGGTATGTAAATTGAATAATACTTAGTAGTTATTATTTTTTAACACTATATATCAAGCTGTTATAACGCATTCGCGGTTAAAAAGGTAGTCCGAAACTGGTTTCATATCTAAGTTGCCTCTGATAGTTTTCATGATACCTGAAATGGAAAAAGCGTCTTGTCGTTTGGATGGGACCGAGGCCCCGTGTGCTACAGGCTGTGCTCGTTAAAGGTCCCTCGGGAGTTGAATTAAAAAAAAAGAGCAGGCTAATGCCACTGTTCTGGCGTTGCGTTACCCGTCTTCATTAGCCCACATGGTGCAGAAAAGTAGGACGTAAAACTCCACTCATTCATGATACCGCACAAATAGCTACAAAGTATGAGTAAGGCTGTGAGCAAGATCAGACCATGAAAAACGTAGTTGGAAACTAATCAAAACACAAAACACATAATTAGATTAATTGTCAACATGAAGGTTTTGCACCATGTAATTCTGAGCTTCAGGCTAAGTGGCTGCTGTTTCACCACCTGATTTACTACCTGATTTGGTTGCTTGCTTGATAGATGGCAAGATGACCAATATTTAGTTTTATCAGCTGCTGTTTACATGAACACACTCCGTTGCGTAAATAATTATATAAGCCTATACTATTCTTTCAGATACCAAGGTCAAGATTATTGTCAGAGGCCTTTCATTCCTTGTTCAAGGAAACTGAAACCACATCTGCGTGGTATGATTTAGAACGGAAGATGGCAAAGCACCACCTGTTTGAAGGAAAATTGAAAGTGTGGCTGATCAAAGCTGATCTTTGCCTGACGCAGAATGATAACCATGTTACCGCCCACCCAGCTTATCAAAATATTATCCACATTTGAAATATATATCAATTGTACATGTATATAAATCTATTTCTCCTTATTTGTCATGTTGAGTTAAACAAAATGATCCTAAGCTTTCTGTATTAGGCGTACTTCAATATCCGGCTCTCAAAAGCGTACTTTGGACGTTTTGATTTCTCATGCCGTTAGAAATTTCACGAATTCCACGATTTTTTAAATATAAATGACAAGACGTTTAACATACAGCTGTGGGAAATACATATATTATATTATTATCTTGTAGGTGTTAAGTATTATTTCCTTAAAAATAAGAAAAGGATGACGACAATTACGCCAATGTGCACTTTCTCTGGGTTTTGCTACATTGATAACAATATTCTTGATTTCCTTACGTCATTGTTTCTCTATAAAGAAAATATTCGCTCCCAAAGGGGAAAGAAAGAGGACATAAAAGGGAATTATAGGGAATTAAGATTTACAATTTCAATTATGCTTAAAAATGAAAAGGCCTACATTCTATTAGACGGAAACCCATGGAGGAAAAAAACACATAGGGCCAATATTGTACGAAATTCTTTTTATAAATAATCGTATTAAATGCTGTGTTATTTCCCCCATATATGATAACATAAGGTTTTTTCATTATACCCTTTTTTGATTTATGTATTTATGAACGTATACAAAACAAAAGGGGGACAATTCGTTTTGGCTTGTTGGTCGCTTTCTAACCAATGTCCTTATAAGGTAATACTATATATTTTCTGCAATCGATTATTTTAGTAAGTAACAGGATCAAAATATCTAACAGGCCGATATGAGATAGCTTATACCATAAATGGAAGTATACGATTACAATAGACTGAAATATGCATGAATGAAAATGAATGCTGTCGTTTTCGTATCTATAGTTTCAATGTCGGTTTGACAAAAGGTTACAAACACATATAAGGCGTTTTATAGGCTGTAAACTGGGGCACTGATGCTTCAGTTAAGTGCTTCTTTTCCTAAATAAGGTCGTATAAGACGCCTATACATATAAGAAATTATATGCAATGGCGGAGCGAGGTTTATGTCCGGGGGGAGATTTTAGTCCGAAAAACTTGCTTTCGGGGCTGGAAGGGGGGGGGGGGTGCCCCCCGCTGCCACTGCTTATATGGTCAATGTTGTACAACATTGCTTGATATGAGGTGAAGCAGAATTGCATAAAGTATATACACTTCTGACGCTAGTTCAGTTTAAATTGTCTCTGGGGTTTTTTAATTCTAAATGAAAGGAGCTGTCTTGGATATGTTTAATCCTACATATTAGCATTGAGTTATCGGGAACCTGAAAAGGGGACATAAAAACCTTTGCGTGAAGTGATTCGATCAACCTTTTACTGGTGGTCCCAGAAAATAAACACCTTAAACAAGTAACCATAAATATGACCAAATTCGACTATCGAATAGGTAACTAGAAGTATACTAATTGGGGCATAGTTATAATTTTACTGTTGTCAGTTATTTTCACCTGTTCTATTCACGGAACATTTAAATGCATAAATCACATTAAAAAACATTTGACAAAAAAGACAAATTTTACACTTTCTTCGCCATCAGGTGTTTTCTTTTCAAAAATTCTTTATATGATATTTTCATTGATAAGTATTTTAGATTTCTTATTCAAATAGCGGTATACATACTGACTTCAAAATGCGGCAACAATGTTGAAGAGCCATCATCTACCCGATTTAGCTTTTATCTGTAATTCATTACGGGAAAAAAGTTGCCAAATGCATTTAAGGTTACTAATAAACGTTGCAGCATCATATGTCATGGATTTTGGGGAAATAAAAATGAGACATGGTGCTATTTACATTTTTTATTTTATTTTTTAAAATGTAACAAAATATATTTTCAGGACAGTAGGCCATATTTACAAAATATGAGCAGCAGTATAATCAAGACACAAAAGAAATCGAGAAATCACTGAAATTATCATAAACAACAACTGAAGTCAACCATTTTAGAAAAATATATTTCATTAATAATAGAAAACTTAGGGAACAGGCTTTTATTTACATGACCCATATCCCTAACAAATATCTACGATCATCATTTGAACAAATTATATAGTACGTAAATCAAATTAATATGAACAAAAGCATGCTCTTATGATAAGAATAAAATGAAACCGATGAATTCATGAAGAACATTAAAATGACCAATTCGAACCATACTTGCATGTTCATATAATACAATACATAATCAAAATAAATATGTGTGAAATGAACAACAGAAATGGAAAAAATGAACATCAAAATAATCAATTTCTTTAATAAATTTAAGTACCAACATGATTGGTGTAACAAAATGAACAATTTGTTTCTTTATCTTCAAAAATAAACTGATTTTCCAAGTTATTTGTATATGAGCAGAACAAAAAAGTGGATCATCACTTGACATCTTAGGATCTTCCCCATTTACATTATGGAGCAAAAATGATTTTCTTAAGCATAATTGCATCATATGCTCTTTAATACTCAGTTTTCCTGAATTTTTCAAATCAATTCCATCAATCAAATTATGAAACCTTGAGTTACTGTAAGTGAACAGTTTAGCATTTATTACATTAAGAGCAATTATGAACAATTTGTAAATTTAATTTTCTTTTCCTTCTGGCTCTCGCTATTATCACCATCTAGTCTTAAAGGTCTTTCTGAACACAATAACACAATGTTACACTTCCAGTATATTGGTATTTTCAAAAATCTTGGGAGTAACCTCCCCTTTAATCGCAACACTTTATATTTTGGTTGCCTATCAACCGAGATTTTCCCAGTGTTCACTATGAATGGTTAAAATATATTACACACTGTCTATCCCTCAAATGAAATGAGGTTGCCATAGTGATGACAAAATTCTATTTGATCACCATGACAACAGTGATGATAATGATATTGTTACTGGGTAGCCATAGCAACCACGTCGTTATTGACGGGTCGCCATGGCAACTGCCTGAACGTCCCACCTCACTACTTCACAAAGTTTCTGACGTCCACTCAATGAAGAAATGAATGTCAGGGAATACTTTTATGTATTTGTCTCCTTCCGTATATTTTTAGTTATTTTTTTCCCCAACTGACACCTTTCTTGTTATCTTTTGTAGATTTTTTGGGATTTTTCTCCATTTTCATTGTAAGGCTAGTTCAAACAGGAAGTTGAATTATCCTGCTTGATGATTGGCCAGTGACTTTTATCCATTTGTAAAAGTCATAAACCTCACTTTCCTCGGTGCTTAGTTTGCCGTGGGGATACTGAAAAGATAAAGGATTAACAATATAAGTAAATGAGAGAAAATTGGGAAATGAATTAAACTTATCTTTTATTTAGGCCTTCAAGGATACAGCAAAACTGAAGCAAGCGTGTCAGATGCTTTCTGCTATCATTAAGCATATATCAAAACCAGTAGTGAACAGTGATCAGAAAATTCAAAAAGGAAAATCATTCAAGACTCACCTCCAAAAGAACACAGCTGACTTTCTGTGAATTTTCATTTTTATTTTTCTTTCTGTGTCTGCCACATAATAATTTGGACAGTGATTCTCTGTTGTTCACTCTCAGAATTCTGATGTTATTTTCCCAGCATATAGCCTGAATCAGGGTGTGTTCAATACTGGCTGTCACATTGGAATCAGGAACTTCTGGTAGAAGACAAAACATCAGATTGTCTGTGCTGAAAAATTATAAAAAAAAAACATTATGACATCCTGCTTTTCAAAATGAATAACATTTTGTACGGTCATGTCTAAGCCACTCCAAAAGGAGAAAGGTTCCATCAAAAATATCTATTTAGAATTAAGAATTACCTTATGCATCCATTGATGCCAAAAGAGGCAATGTTTTTCCAGTTATTTTAAAAGGTATTTAAAATTCATCTTAAAATATAGTACCCGGTAATTACCTTTTAATTAGATTTGCTAGTTCATATCCACCACACCAAAGTCTGCCCTTTTCTAAACTCTGCCAGACAATTTCCGCTGTTACTCTCCCGATATTGACAAATTTTCTGAAAAAACAAAATTAGGTAATTACCACAAATGCATAAATATTTCCGAAAACGAAAACAAAAACAGGAACGAGAAATTTGTTTATTTACCGGTTTCTCAGTAAATATTTAATTTTCAGGGAATCACCGGACCTCCATGTGACCTACTTTGTCGTCACTAGATCACGTGACTAAATGGTATTCCCCACTGGTGTAATGGTATTGCACAACGTGTGACAATACCACAATAGGGCAGTTTTAATCTTTAATATCTTGTGACTGATCCGGCAAATTCCCTACAATATGATTATCATAAAAGATAATTGAAATTAATTGAAGTTCAAATAAACTCGATCAGGTCAATGTGTTAAAAGGCCACGCATTGTCCATCAACTGGCTAAAACCAGATAATGGATTAATTGTCTTTTCCAGAAAGAATTCTCATGAAACATATACTTGTCTGAAATTGCAGCAATTTCTTGGAATGTTTCCAATTTTGAAAATACTGGCGTTAAGAGAGAGTTCCAGTAATTTGAAATTATGCAAATTAAAGGACAGTGTTCATAATAGAGAAATATATCCGATAACAAATTTATAACTATATTATATTTATATCATTCTGAAAATGTAACTATGCTATCAAAATTAATACCGATTTCTTGCAATATAATATATATTGCACAATACATCATATGGACAAATACTTGTTGCTATAGAAATGTTTTTTATGGCTTCATTAATATCATGCTATAAAGTACTCTCGAATACTCCTTGAACTGGTTCCTTTTTCGCAAGAGTTCTAAAATTCCAAAGAATTGTTGCATCAGTTTTATTATGTACGTATGGTATGGTATGCTATGTTATGGACTGTCAAATTTCGGCAATTAAAAGTCCGACAATAGCAAAGAGCAAATATAACACTTACTTTTCGTTAGCATCCATTGCGTTACATTCACAAACTTCTTCCAATGTCATTTTTGATAAGAATATAATATTCCGTGATTGAATCACAATAAAATCCTGTAGAGTGTATTATGACTTCTTTACTCTCCAGCGGTTTAGGAATTTCTGCTGACACATTCACGAGTCATCGTAGTTAAAGCGCTAGATATACTTCTTGATATCCTATTGGTTACTTTCTTAATGTATTCAAGGTCAAAGGCCCGGGGATACCCTCGCTTAGAGTAGGGAATTCCTTCAATTTAGCCACAATTACACGATTTCTGTGAAAATAAGCTTTAAAACTACAGTGCAAATAATGTATTTTACTATGCTACAATCTTTAATTGCAATAGCAAAGGTTTATGACAGCTTAATTCAGTAATTTTTGCTCAATTTGGCTTCAAATCAAATTCTCCCAAGCTTTACACATGTTGAAACCCGTCGAGCAAGTTGAAGTCGAGGTTCGGGAAATCCCCTTGTCGTTTGGTCTACGAATACAGCTGTTTAACTCCACGTGTACTTGAATATGGCGGAAAAAACATTATAGATTTTACCTGACGAAATTTTTCTAGCTTTTACCTTTTACTGATGTAATTTGCTTATAGGCCTATATTTCGGCCTTTATATGTCAGAATAAATATTGCAACTTTTATAATTGTTTACAAATGTGTCCATTTTTTATTACAATTTGGCGCCAGTTTATCTGGTTCAACAGGTACATTTGAACAAATCAGAAAGCACCCGTATGGCGTCGATAGGTGCACAAAGTACTATTGCGTTTGGCTGAGCACAACTTTTGATATTAAGTATTTGAATCAACCCGTGTCATCATAGACCTCTTAGATGTAGGCACAATTTGTCAACAGGAAAGCAGTTAAATTCTGATGAAACACGTTTTTTGGTGGATGACGTCTTAAGTTTATTTAACATAGAAGTGTGACAGGATATGCTTTATACTGTAGAGAACAAACATGAATAATTTGACAGGACATTGAGTTGAAGACTACGTGGTTCCTGATAATAGGCGTTTCTAGCTTGACGCAGTCTTTTTTTTCAAGAATAGTTCTAATGAATATCATGTCATATAAGTCATGAATTGCTGATTGTATGTCCTCGTCGTCCGAGAGAAATCTATACCACGATCCATGTTTGGCTGTAAATGGATTGCTGATTTTTATGGCAAATCATGCGGTTACCTGTATATGGCCTACAGGCAAATTCGCGGATAGATGTATAACAAGCACAATGTAAATTATTCCAATATTATTTTGGTTAACCTTGGCTATTGAGCATCCGAAAGTTCATTGCATAAAGATGCACTAGACGGAAACGTAAGTGAAAAAACATTTTGCTTTGTAGATAAGCAAGATAATGTAATATCTAAACATATCATCTTTCATACATGGTAAATGAGTAATAAGGTGGTGACACTAATTAGAGCACGGGATTCAGGATAAAATAGAGCATGGAATTTAGTCATCTATTAGCTATAGATCGCCTGATTTACAGGAAAGTCTAGTATAGCACCACCCAAGTTAGTGATAAACATGGTATATAATAATCGATATACATCAAAACAAACGACGTCTGTGTGAATCACTTGGCTCTGAGTAATAAAGCTCAAGGTCGATACCACCAACGTTCAGCATTCAACATATATTATGAATGAAAATATATTGAAATATTGGCTACCTAGTGTATAGGCTGCAGGATTGGCAAAAGTAACAACCAGCCGCGCATGGCTCCTCCATCCTCCAAAAAATTGATTGGTACGACATCTCCCCTCCGCCATTTTAACATTTTTTATTATTAGGCCCTCAAATGCCTGGTGCTGACCTCCCCCCCCCCCCCCCTCTCTCATATCCAAAAAAATCGTGGCCAGTTCTTGAGACCTTATAAACAAAAACCGACATAGAAGCATATGTAGCACATGAAACCTAAACTTGCCAAATTCATAGAAATGGAACTCATTCATTGGATCATCTTTAAAAAATTTCTTTGGCATTTTAAGTATGTGTGGTGACCACCTCGCCCAACACGAAACCACAGAGTTATTTAATGTTTAAAGGAATTTCTTTGCTAATAGTATTATGATTGTTACTATTAGTGACTAATACAGTTGACTATTTCATTGTGGAAATTGATATAATATGATAACAATTTATTCTGTGTTTTGTAAAGGTGGTATAATTCCCTAATGACAACCGGTAAACAATGGTAAATAATCAAAGAGCTCATATCATGACGTCGTAGGTGGAAACTAGTATGGGAATTTGAGGGAAAGCGATAATCGGTTTTGTCACCAAATGTGCGAACTGCAAAGCTATTGACGTCAAGTGCGTCCAATTTTAATATCCTTATCCCTTTTCTAGAATATAACCAAACGACAATTAAGGGCTGGATTGCATAAACCGAGCATCAAATTTTGACAACAAATAAATTATTGTAAAGTGTACCGGGCACTTGTCCAGTTTCTGACGTCATCATTCTCTGCAGGACAGTGGTTACTAATATAAACATCAGTATATAAAACTATGAGGTTATTTATTTGATATCGGATTAAGGACACCAGATTTGTGGGTTATAAATAACTTCACGACTAATAAACACCATCTATCACCTTATATTGTAACTGCCCCAGGGTGGGATAGAGGTATCCTGTAGTAAAGTTTGTAATATTATAATTATAGTATATTAGTAAGTGTTTTATCAATGACCCAACATGGCTATACCCGAATATGTTATGATACGAGCTATTGATTAGAAGGGTTTATACCATTTAAAGATTAGACTATATATATTTAACATATATGGTATGAATGAATAAGATGGCTATGCGAAAGCCTTGTCCAAGCCTTATAGAGCGATAATTATTTATTCAGTTTTTCATTTAGATATTCGTGAATGTAAGAGAACGGTGTGATACGACTAGTGCAAGCGCTGTGACTGCCTTTATGTAGCAATATTTATTTATTTACAATACTATTATATTTTATTCATATAAGGATTGCTTTACTATGTCGCATACATACGAGTTTGTATATCTAATTAAAAGCCTTATGCGTGATAGCATAGTGCTTACCGCAAAAGTATTTAAACAAATGATCCAACATTAAAAATTCATTCCATTTAGATGCAGACTTCCTTCAGATGAATAATTTATCAATGTTAAAGGTATATGACGTCCAAAATCAAGCTTTGATGTACTGTATGACTATAAACGTTTTTCGCCTGTGTAACTTTTAAGAATGAAAGTTATACCTTTAAAGAATGACACGGAAGTCAAGCGGAAATCTACTGGAAATCATGATATTATACTCCTTATGTTATCATATCCTGATGGCATAAAAATGATAAACCTTTTTTTTCACGTTTGATACCTCGCGGTCGTGATTATAGCTTCGTGACTTAAGCTTATACAGATACATGGGATTAGAAGACCTGCCTCAGCTCTTTCATGTGTTATCATTAATTTTATTATAACCGCTTAAAATTACCCTGATAAAGGGCAAAAAGAAATTCCTCTTCGGATGACAAAAAACTGAATTGTTCAAACTTTGGCAAAAATCAGTACTTATTGATTGTTGGACTTAAAGAGTCATAACTTTACAACATATTCTAAAACAAGTAATTACGTAAAACTATCGTAAAATTAAAAGTACTTATCTAACCGTGCTTACTATTTTTAAGCGTTTTTCAATGATTATTCAGTTAAATGAATATTTAAATATTTTTCGGCAAGCTAATTCATGTTATATGAATAAATATAATTTGGTTTAAATAGATATCTTATTTACATTGAGAATATTTTTGACCCAAAACATTACACAAACATCGATAAAGCCTTAAGTGCAGAAAGTTGAGGACAGAAGGCTTTCACTTTTTAACAATACATTTAAATTAGAAATTCGGCAAAAACATGAAGTAATTTTTAGTGAAAACAAGTTTTGCAAAAGAACTTTTATGCATTGTAGTAATTAACTTAAGTGCAAAAAGTTTAGTAAAAGTTTACATTGTAATCTTAACACACATTATTGGCAAAATGTGTTACTGTAAACATGATTATGGTCGGGTAGCAGTTCTCGAAACATAAAATTATTTGCTGAACTAAATGCACTTAAAGCTATTTCATTATAAAAAAAAATTAGCTCACAACAATTGGGTCGAGAAAACATAAATAACAACTTATCAAAGACCTGGATTCTTGTTTCGGAAACACCCGGATGTCCGAAATCTACTGAATTTTTACGTTTTTGATATAGAACGATCTAGAATCGTATATCGGTTATAATTGACAATGGAAATTTACTTGTCCATAGCATTCTCCATTCCATCATAACTAATCTGTTATATTGAGGTTCAGAACAGTAGCGCATTACTTTCCATTCGATTATAACTATTCTATTATATTAAGGTTCAGAACAGTAGGGCATTACTTTCCATTCCATTATAACTATTCTATTATATTAAGGTTCAGAACAGTAGGGCATTACTTTCCATTCCATTATAACTATTCTATTATATTAAGGTTCAGAACAGTAGGGCATTACTTTCCATTCCATTATAACTATTCTATTATATTAAGGTTCAGAACAGTAGGGCATTGCTTTCCATTCCATAATAACCATTCTATTATATTAAGGTTCAGAACAGTAGGGCATTATTTTCCATTCCATTTTAACCATTCTATTTTATAAAGGTTAGCGCACACGAGAGCTACCAGCTAAGCTCAGCTCGTAGCTCTCGTGTGCGCAGAGTTTACGTAAGGTTTTTTTTTCATTCGAGGCGTTAAGGAAATTATCTGTGGTGTTTGATAATTTTTTCCTCGAATGAAAAACACCTTACCGTGTACGCACTCGAAAACTCTTAGCTTTCAACTTTGGACTGGGGCGCATGCGCTAGCACGTGATCAAACAAAATTGGCTGCGCCCATCGGTGAATGCGAGTTTGTATCTGAAGCAATTATTGAAGACAAGTTGGTAAACGTATGGTATTTGAATCCATCGGCGTATCTATAGCTTACGAGAGCTTGCAAGTATTCTTCGTCGGCGACGACGCAACAACAAAAATTACTTCATATTCTGAATCATTCGATGGGTTGTC